AACCTTTTCGTCGAGGAGTTTGTCTATTGACCTTTTCGTCAAGTAGTTTGTTTATTAACCTTTTCGTCAAGTAGTTTGTTTATTAACCTTTTCGTCAAGTAGTTTGTTTATTAACCTTTTCGTCAAGTAGTTTGTTTATTAACCTTTTCGTCAAGTAGTTGTTTATTAACCTTTTTGTAAAGTAGTTTGTTTATTAACCTTTTCGTCAAGTAGTTTGTTTGTTAACCTTTTCGTCAAGTAGTTTGTTTGTTAACCTTTTCATCAAGTAGTTTGTTTATTAACCTTTCCGCCAAGTAGTTTGTTTATTAACCTTTTCGTCAAGTAGTTTGTTTATTAACCTTTTCGTCAAGTAGTTTGTTTATTAACCTTTCCGCCAAGTAGTTTGTTTATTGGTTAATAAACAAACTACTTGACGAAAAGGTTTTTTCGTCAAGTAGTTTGTTTACTTAACCTTTTCATCAAGTAGTTTGTTTATTAACCCTTTTCGTAAAGTAGTTTGTTTCCTAACCTTTTCATCAAGTAGTAAACAAAGTATTTACAGTACTACTTTAAACTGTTTGGAAAATTATTAGAAATTTATAAAATTCATCATGGAAAAAAACTTTAATTGTTTCTAAACTCTGCTTTATGCAATAAGGATATTTTAGAAAAAATGTTGTACAGATGGTAATTAAAAGTACGATCGATAATTACGAAGCTTGAGATTAACAGATGTAATATAATAAATAAAAAAAATGTAAATGTAGGCAGAACACAGATAATTGTAAAGGATTTCAGGATTTTATTTGGAGACAAAAAAACTGTATTTAAAACATATACCCACAGGAGATTTTCCTACAGAAAAAAAACTGTTCTTAAAATACAATCACACAAGATATTCGGAGAAACGAAAAAATATTTGTCGAAATAAACACACAAAAGATTTCCTAATAGAAACAGATAAATATATAGTTAAAATACAACTTGTTACAACCCACACAGATTATGTTTGAGGGTGAAAATAATAGTTTAGATACACCAAAGATTTCCCAAAAACCTTAAGCTATTTGGGGGATTTTTGATATTCTACTCTCTTGCTGTTCTTGTGTGTTGTTAAGATTTTATAAACTAAAGATATGGTCAGTTTTAACAGAAAATAAAAAGAACACAATTGTATTTTGAAGTATTAAATATGTATGTGTACATTATGACATCCAATTTATTTTTGATAAGAATTTAAACAAAGTTTCATATAAGTAAGTATTAATTTCATGGGGTTCTAAAGAAGTAAAATAAGTTGTAAAACTTCAAAGAAAATGTTTCATAATTTACTAACAACTGGTTAAAAACAATATTTACTTTAATCTAGTTCAGGGTAAAACAAGTTAAGAATAATTGTATAAATCTTTCAAAACCTCACTTATTTTTAACAATAAATAATTAAATATTAGAAATAAGTTATTATTAAATATTACATCAACGTATAGGAACGAGATTCATCTTCAAATGAAATAAAATCCTGCTCTTTGGTAAGTTACACGTTTGAAATTGTACATATTAAACTGTGTGAAAAAAAATAAAATAAAATACAGTTTTCTATATATCAAAATTTTATATGTTGTTTACATTTAAGAGAAGAGATTCTTATTTTAACTAAAATATTTTGAAGGTTAACTTGAGTTTCAGAGAGGACATCACGATTCACAACCGTACGAACATAGAAAGCATTAAATTTTTAACAGAATTTAAAATTCTGTATAAATAAGAACAAAAAATGTAACAAACTTTACTTTTACTTAGAGCTCAAATAAATGAAAGACTTTTTCGTGCCTGAAAGTGATTTACGAAACAAAAGAAATGATTTTCGATATTCACCCATTACATCTACAAGTAGCCAGGAATGTTCCTTACATCATATATAACAAAGATTGCCAGTAATTTTACATGCAAAAACTTCTGGTTTGAGCTGTATCAGCATATCTTAACTGTGTTACCAACCTACTTCGGTCCTTGTAATTACAGACTCTGTTCAACTCCACCGTAGTGTTACATCTGAAGCTGTACGAGTGCAAGTAAAGAATTGAATATAGTCAGCTATGGCTCTATCTAATTCGGTGCAAACAAAATTCTTAACAATTTCTCTGTTTTTCCAGAACTGGATTTCACTTACATGATACATACAATTTGGTTTTCCATGACGTATCACTTCCTCAACCACTAAACCCATAAATATTTTGAGCTAAAACACAAAATCTACTTGCATTCAGTTTTAGCGCAGTTAATGTCAACATTGGCAGTTTCTTGTGTGAGAACCTTGTTAGTTACATTGATGTAAACCCCTGTAAATCTGAAGCTGGATTCTTGGGAAGTTTATCCATGGAAGGTGGTAAGCTACCCACAACGAGACAAAGGCTGGCAGGGGTAGAGTTACTTGCAACTGAAACAACAGATTAAACAACAATGACTTAATATTCTGTTAACTTATCAAACATGTAATATGAAACCTCTTAATTTAAGAATAGTTAAATGAAATGGATTCCCATCTGGCAAATTACTTAGAAATCTTTCTAAATGTGTTTTGTTTTAATAAGATTATAATACAAGATTTTTTTTAGTGACTGAATTTATAAAATGTACAGATTATTATAGCTTGACTTTTCTTGTTTCACCCAGAAACTGGAGTATGAAAATAATAAGTACACCTGGAAAAGGTTTTTAATTTAGAGCTACAAAAATAAAATCAAAAAGTGTCCAGATCATAGGAAAGTACTTTGAAATTGACAAGACATTTATTTAGGAGCAACATTTTGGGTAGCTATCCTTCATCACAAAAACAATATTTTAAATAATTTTTAAAAATACACAGAACAACATTGTTGTATCCTAGAGAATATTACACCGTTGTGTGTGTCTGATGAAGCCATTAGGTAACATATCAGACATTAAGTTAAAGAAAAGAAGCCATTAGGTAACATATCAGACATTAAGTTAAAGAAAATAAACCACTAGGTAATGTATCAGACATTAAGTTATAGAAAAGAAGCCATTAGGTAACGTATCAGACATTAAGTTATAGAAAAGAAGCCATTAGGTAACATATCAGACATTAAGTTAAAGAAAAGAAGCCACTAGGTAACATATCAGACATTAAGTTAAAGAAAAGAAGCCATTAGGTAACATATCAGACATTAACTTAATGTCTGATACATTACCTAGTGGCTTCATTTCTATAACTTAATGTCTGATATGTTACCTAGTGGCTTCTTTTCTTTAACTTAATGTCTGATACGTTACCTAGTGGTTTATTTTTTTAACTTAATGTCTGATATGTTACCTAATGGCTTCTTTTCTTTAACTTAATAGAAAAGAAGCCATTAGGTAACATATCAGACATTAAGTTAAAGAAAAGAAGCCACTAGGTAACATATCAGACATTAAGTTAAAGAAAAGAAGCCACAAGGTAACATATCAGACACAAAGTTAAAGAAATGAAGCCACAAGGTAACATATCAGACATTAAGTTAAAGAAAAGAAGCCATTAGGTAACATATCAGACATTAAGTTAAAGAAAAGAAGCCATTAGGTAACATATCAGACATTAAGTTAAAGAAAAGAAGCCATTAGGTAACATATCAGACATTAAGTTAAAGAAAAGAAGCCATTAGGTAACGTATCAGACATTAAGTTAAAGAAAAGAAGCCACTAGGTAACATATCAGACATTAAGTTAAAGAAAAGAAGCCATCAGGTAACATATCAGACATTAAGTTAAAGAAATGAAGCCACTAGGTAACATATCAGGCATTAAGTTATAGAAAATAAGCCATTAGGTAACATATTATGTAAAAATATTAACTCTCCTTTACAACTTAAAGAAAGCTATTTACAAAAAAGTAAAATGTGGAATTAATAATTTACCGAGATTAAATAAACACTTTTAATTTGTGAATTTTGATCAATTCCTAATGGTTCTTACCTGGAGGTTGTTGTAGATCCTGGCTTAAAGAAAATCTGTTGGGTGTTGCCTTTAATGTAACAAAAAATCTTTATTACGGTAACACGAACTTTACTAAAAAATAAAAATCAATATAACAACACTCAAGAGTACGTGTTGCTGCATTACTTTGGTTTCTCAACTATCAAGAGTTTTGACAAAAGTATTTCAAATTTTGTACATCAACCCCAGAAAATATAGATGAAGAATACACTTTTTTGAAAAATAATTATGAGAGACCCCCAAATTTGAGGGATCACAGAGGTTGGGGGGGGGACTATCAGAATTGGCCACATGCATTTAATGGAAAATTTATAAGTCATTCAAACCAATGTTCAGAAATTGTGTTTCTGTAGTTGTTATCTTGTAATTCCACTGGTAATTTACACACAAAAACATAGTTATATGTTAATAGTTATTGTATTCATTGTTTGTAATGTCGTGGAGAGACCAAAATACCAAACTTTTATGATGAAACTTTGTAGAAGGGACGACAACTGCCTGTTGTAGAGACACGAGTGTAGAGGACGACCTGTCTCTCTACAACAGGCAGTTGCCGTCCCTTCTACAAAGTTTCATAATGAATACTCTGCCTAAACAATCAACCAAAAAATACCAAACATTTTAATTTTTCTCTACAAAATTTATTAGTACATCAAGACATCAGCATATTTAAATAACCTTATGAACCAAAATCCTCAAAATTGTCTTCCTCCAAAACTGAAAACTTTGCCTGAACTGCCATCTACACTTAGATGTTAATAACAATTAGATATTTATGTGCTGCCATCTACTGTACTCATATTTATCTGAAATATTTAACTGCAATATTTTCAAAGTTCAATTTAATTTTTTCAGTAAAATACACAAAAACAAAAACACACACACAAAAAAAAAAAACAATAGAAATTTATTATAACCTTTTACCAGTATTAAAAATGTTACGCAACTATAGAGGTTTGGAGAACAAACTGAATATTGATACCAATAAACTCCTCGGTGCCTTTAAAAAGACACTTACACTTGTAAGATTAGTTTTTCTCCACAAATAAAAAATCTTAAAGATGCACTTTTACTTCATATGTTTTCCATTAAGTAGCACTCACAACGATTAACACTCGCTGGACAACCTAACACAATACATAGAATTATCATCGGACAACCTAACACAATACATGGAATTATCATCGGACAACCTAGCACAATACATAGAATTATCATTGGACAACCTAACACAATACATAGAATTATCATCAGACAACCTAGTACAATACATAGAATTATCATCAGACAACCTAACACAATACATAGAATTATCATCGGACAACCTAGCACAACACATAGAATTATCATCAGACAACCTAGTACAATACATAGAATTATCATTGGACAACCTAGTACAATACATAGAATTATCATCGGACAACCTAGCACAACACATAGAATTATCATCAGACAACCTAGTACAATACATACAATTATCATTGGACAACCTAACACAATACATAGAATTATCATTGGACAACCTAACACAATACATAGAATTATCATCGGACAACCTAGCACAATACATAGAATTATCATCGGACAACCTAGCACAATACATAGAATTATCATCGGACAACCTAGCACAATACATAGAATTATCATCAGACAACCTAGCACAATACATAGAATTATCATCCGACAACCTAGCACAATACGTAGAATTATCATCAGACAACCTAACACAATACATAGAATTATCATCAGACAACCTAACACAATACATAGAATTATCATTGGACAACCTAGCACAATACATAGAATTATCATTGGACAACCTAGCACAATACATAGAATTATCATCAGACAACCTAACACAATACGTAGAATTATCATCAGACAACCTAGCACAATACGTAGAATTATCATAATAAGTAATGCAACTAATTCCAGCTACCTCAATGATAATTATTGATAAAACAGTATTCTAGAAAATATAACATCAACATTAAAATGCTACTTCAAACATTTTTTTACTTTAGCTTTTGTTTTATTCATAACTACCCTACCCTGCCCACAAACTATAAACCAGCTTTGATGCTGATAATTAGTTGTATATATTTTCCCATTGTTCATTCTCTTTATTGCCCTACTCAGCCTACACACTACAAGCCAGCTCTGATGCTAGTCGTTAGTTGTATTTTCTCACAGATACAATTTATTAACGATACTTACCTAAAAGTTGATTCATGCTCGGAGGAGCTGGCTTTGTAGATTTGTTGACTGGCATCAGATTGTCAACACTGATGTCCACATTCCCACTGCAAGTCCACGTGTTGGTTTTCTGTGGTGATGTCTAGAGTGATAATTGGTGAAGACAGATTTTCTATTATAAAGCTAGATATTTGCATCTTTAATAAATGATACACACTTTTGTAAAGAGCTACTCTATAATTAATATTTCATAAGATACGTTTGTGTAAAGAGCTAATCTGATATATATATATACACTTTTCTTGCCAAGTAGTTGTCATGATTAGTGACCAATGGATTACTTGATGTGTAGACCATAGCACAATAACTACGAATACTTCCATTGCTAATACGTTGACACTTCTCCTCAACGTATTATAGTGTTACGATCAAGAAGTTAATGGATATTTCTCTTCAATAGGAGAAAAATTTAACTCAACCTTCTGATTACATATTTGGTGTGTTGTTATTGGTCGTGTGTTCTGATATCAAGATTAAAGATAACAAGATATGGGTCCAGAATAACAATACAACAGCAAATCTTTCTACATATTACTTATCAAAATTACATAATGCATATGACTTGGGTACATTATAGTAATTATGTTTGGCAAGAAAGCTCTATGCTCTGACCAGAACATGAACCCAGACCACACCAGTGTTTCAAGACTGATTCTAAGCTCCATGCTCTGACCAGAACATGAACCAAGATCACACCAGTGTTTGAAACTGATTCTAAGCTCTATGCTCTGACCAGAACATGAACCCAGACCAGTGTTTCAAGACTGATTCTAAGCTCTATGCTCTGACCAGAACATGAACCCAGACCACAGTTTCAAAACTGATGCTAAGTTGCTGACTATAGATCTCTGCATTGACAGTTCACTGTGGATTGAGAAGTTTGAAATGAATTACTCCTTTGATGTCCCACCAAATGCAAAGAATCACTTTCTGAGGATGGAGTCCAGATTTTGGGGTCGGAAGTGGTTTTTGTCTAGAACTAAACCATTGTTTTTGGCATTTAATATTCTCATAGAGAATCCATTTTTCATCACTGGTGACAATTCTGTCCAAAAATGGTTCAAGCGCCAGAAGAGACAAAGCAACGTTCACATGCTGGAAACGATGATCATCGGAAAATTTGTGAGGTACCCAAACACCTTCTTTAAGGAGTTTATCCATATTTTTTAGATGTTTATGTATTGTTTCATGAGAGATGTGTAATTTCAGGGTCATTTCATGAGTGTGTTGGCTTGGGTTAGACACAACAAGTGTCTTCAGAGCATCAATATCAATTCCAACATGTCGGCCTTTGCCATCACAGTTTTTTAGGCTATTGATATAGTAATTTATGATTTTTTGGTTATTTCAAAATGTATATATAAAAACCTAAAAAAAATAATTTTCTTTCACATCCTCCATGTGTGAAATTTGATAAGGCTTAGCAACCTACATCAAGCAGCAAATGAGTACAAAGTTCGTAACTAGAAGAGATAATTGTTTTCTGTACTTTTTTATTTACTGTTCTATGTTTTAAGAAAAATAAGTTTAAGAACTTGTTTGTAAATCGTTATAATGTATAATAATTTAAATGTGGCTGTATTTTACAAAATACTAGTCCATTAAAACACAGCCAAGACTGGTCACTTTGTAAAGGCCAGTTTTATATTCCTGAATAAGGTAACATGAAGGCACTTGCGCCACATCATTGTAACTTCTATAACGTTAGCCAGGCATGGCTGAAAGGTCAATATAATAAAAATAATATATATACATAGATGTATAACATTATGAGATTTAAGCTATTTAGACTAAACATTTGTGTTATAATTCGTAGTCATTCTAGAATGAAAAAGACATAATTTATATTTATTTCCCAATTTTTTAGGGTAGTTACGAGGTCAGTCAAATTGACCCAACCTGTACAGAGATACAATTGTAAAATAACAGATAAAATATAAAGATTTCCCATGTGAAAAATGAGAAGTTTCTGATGCATAAAAGTATTTTTACTCTTAAAACAAAAATTACTTTGCATGTAGGATAGGCAACATTTGAAAAGAAAAAAGCACAAGATAAAAAAATTACTTAAAAAATCTTAAACTTAATAAAAAATCTGATATTTCGGGTATGAAAGCCTTGTAATGTTTACTGATAATATGCAAAATTTCATGAAGATATGCTTAGTAA